AGTCAAATCTGCAACACTTCCTGAAAACGGTCTTGTTAAAAAAAAAAGCGTCTGGAATAGCTTCAGAGATTTCTTCTGATTGTGATGTACTGGGATGCCCTCTGACCATTTTGTCTGGCATATTTTTTTGTTACATTTGGACACCTTGTGTGGGTACAAGTGCACCCTGTTGTGTCCCAGTCACACGGCACAGCTGACAGTGCTCATTAGATTGGAAGCTCTCATGAATTTCATGGTGAACACCAATGCAAATGCAACCACACAGAGCTTGGCTCACACGCACCAGGACTGTGGAGAAAAAGGAAGGCAAATCCAGCATTCTTTGCATTTCAGCATGAAAAGGAGCTGTCATATGTGTGACTTGAGCATGAGGAATCATTATTCGGAAGGCTAAAAGGAAGAGAAGTCTTTTAAACAATTACAATAGAAAATCTACATATGTGTATACACTCTTCAATAAAGATATGAAAATATTGGACTCCTTCCATTTTTTTCTACTATAGCTCACATTTCTTTATATACAGAGGAGCTGGTAATTTATTGCGGATCATACCAGAAAAAAATTACATATGGAGCCCATGTGGGAAGCAGGTGGGTTAAATTAAGGGCATGCGAGAGGATTGTCTGGACATAAAATAGTTGCCCCATAGTTATTGCCAATATAAGTGAAATTCATTTTGGGAAAAAAGTGGAACTCATCTCCTTCAAGTGATGAGTTGAAGGAGATTTAGGTAGATTGAACCATTTTTTAAAATTATTATTCCTGAAGACCTAGCTAAGATCTATGCAGGGTGTCACAATAGTTTCATTGGAATAGGTTGAAAATTTTCCACCCAAGTGGAAAACCCCTATGTTGAGTCAAGACCCTCAGTACTCATCTGAATGGGGCACACCTACATATATTGATTTTGTAGTTTGTGGATTGAGACCAAAGACTGAGCTGTAACCCATGAAGATGCCAGAAAAGGTTTTGCATATGAGAAGTTATAACAGAAGTTATAACAAATGTGACAATCACATTGGTCTCCATAGAGCTCTGTCCCAACTCAGTGCATTGCATGACTTCAAAGCATGTGCTAAATTACTGTTCATCACAGATGAATCTGACAACACACCAGCATTCCAGAAAATGAACCATCAGTTAAATAAAATATTTGTACAATGAAAAAAAAAAATCCTTTCTAAAAAATTTAGCTTTCAACCAAACCAACCAAATCGTCGTACATGAATTATCTCTCCAGGATTCTGGAATTAACAATAGAGTTGTGGGTTTTGGGATATTCATAAATTCTCAAGGTATATTTAATAATATATTTAAAAAGAAATCAGGCTCTTTTGTTCATAAAGATGACTACTTTGACACATGCATTATATTACCAGAAGCACTTGGTCACCTGTCTTTAAACAAGCATAAGCCGTGTGTTATGATATCTAATTTGTAATTCAAAAGGTTTAAAGCGACATTGGCACGCCCTTTCACAACTTCAATATTTAGGGAAGCTTTAAACAAAGATTAAAAGCTTGCTTATGTGAGTATTTGAACGTTTCTGCAGGAGAGCGTTTATGAGGTCAGATACCTCTGCTTGACCAGAAGGCTAAGATGACTGTTCTAATTTTTCTGAAGGCGCATTTTAGATGTGTAGATACCATTCTTGAACTTTCCACACAAATTCTGAAGCATTTCATCCTCCAAAATGTGTTTGTAAGCTTTAAGAGTTCCTTTGTCTGGAACTGTAAAGTCAAAGTCAACCCCTGAAGAAAGAACCCAAAAAGAATAACCCTCCCCCCAACAAATTCCACACTTGGGAAGAATTAGCGTGAAAAGTAATGTTCTCCTAACAACAGCCAAACTCTGACTCATCCAATGGATTATGAGACACGAGAGGGTGATTTGTCTCTAGGGAACAATTCTTCAAGGCTCAAGTGTCTATTATCAGCAGGCTTTGCAGCTCAACATGTGACAGTGGCTGGAGTCCGAACCGACTTTCTGACAATATGGTGTAGGTTGACTGCATAGCTTTGACCACAATGCCTCTGTCCTGATGCAAACGGGACAGGACAGCAAAATTTAACTAATAATAACTATGTTGTTGAAAAATGTCTAAATTCTTAGAAATATACTATTGCTTTTTAAAATATGTAAATAAGAAATCATTCAGTAGGTGGTAAGAAATACTACTTCAGATAGGAATCAGCTGTTAGACTGATTATGTTGACTTTTTTTCATACATTGCTATGTATTTAATCAATATAAAATATTTATCAACTTTGCTAGAGAGTGGCAAATTCCTTTTGGTGCATGACGCAGACTCGGAAAATTAATCTTTAACTCAAGTCCAGAATTCCTGCAGTAGAAACTGTTCAAATTTGATGCGGCTGGTTAATTCTGTGACACAAGGCAGATGTTTATAAGGGTTGAAAATCTCTAAATGAAGTACGATAAACCCTTTTCCTGTGAACAGCCAAGTTTTTTAATAGTAGAGCTACTTTCACTTTGATTGGGAACTTTTGAAAGGGAGATTCCAAAGAAAGAAGATTTAAAAGAGCTTCTAGGTTTTGCAAGTTACTTAAAAATTCTTAGTAAAAATCTAATTCTGGCAGAATAAAAAAAGAAAAGATTTTGCCTTTTTTTGTGCAAATCAATTACTGTAAACTATTGTCCATATATCAGGAAACCAGAAAAAATATATGTTTTTCTGGAAACAAAAGATTTTGCAGCGATATATGTTTTAAACTACAGTCAAGACTTTCACCATGGCTGCTGTGTCTTTTATATGGGTTTTACGAAGGTGGTTTCAGTCATGAAAATACAGATACCAACAAAGCATAGCTGAGTATTTCAGAAAAGTCAAGCTCACTATTATAAATACAACTATGATTCAAATAATGCTTTGGAATCAGATGTTTTTTTTAGTACCACAGTGATAAGTACCACAAATATGAACACAGGTACTTATCACTGTACTGTGACGTAGCAATGATAAGGACACTAGCCATAAATGTGAGCTTGTTAAAGCAAATTTATCTAGCACCTTGAAAAATATCTCAAAGGAGAGCTGCAAAGGAAAATATTTTTGAGAACTTCACTGTAAAGTGACGTAGGCAAAGGTGAACGAAGGACAAGAGGCAGTGATCACATTTTGCACCCTTCCTCCACTGTAAATCACGGATGCTTAAGCGTTTCAGATCTTCACGCATCCCTGACGATTACACAAGACAAGGAAAAAATAAAACAAAATCTAGTTTTCAGAAAAAAGACTTTATCAGGGAAAATGTTTTCAAACAAACAAAATCCTATGTAATCATTGCATGAAGCAATAATGAATTAACAGCACTTAACTATGTGGTTTGGAAAGATGATTCAAATTCACAAGCCTCTGCCAGAAATCACTTGAATAAAACCTGTTTGACAACATGGAGTAGACTCCAGGATTTCTAAAACCAGATTATGTGCTGTTATAAAGAAAGTCAAGGAAAGTTACTGGCATCTAGAAAGGGTTGCAGACCCAGTTAAACTTTGGGACTCCAGCAGGCCGGTGATGTTTAAAACAAACACAGAGGCCAATAAACACTATCTTGATAATGACCAAGCCATCTGGAAAGTCATTCACAGGATTTAAAAGGCAATAGCAAAAAATTTCTGATGGTGTGATTTCATTACATCTGATGTAAAACTAGCGCAGCATTTAAGAAACAGACCATCATATTGACGGAAAGTGTGTGGGTGGATGGTCTTGGGACGCATTGCTGGTTGAGGATCTGGATAACCTGCTGTAACTAATAGAGCAACAAATTCTGCTATCTTGTAAACAGTCCTGAAGGAAAATGTCCAAGTGTCAGTTCATGTGCACACTTAAGTTATGCAACACAATAATGATCCAACCCACACCAGTGAGCCCAGTGACGCTCAAAAAGCTTGAACAGTTGGCAAAGAAGAGCAGGATACAATTCCCCCAAAGATATTAAAGATTTCTTATCAGCTTAATGGCAGTTTTAACTCAAGGGTGACACAACCTTTTATTATGTTTACAGGGGAATTAGTTTTCACAAGGGGCATGTTAGTTTTTAGGGTTTTTTTCCACCTTAAGTATTAAAATAATTTCAAAGCCGTTTTTCTGATAATTCTTTCTAATCATCTTTATCATAATTAACTACAATTAGAAAGAGGAATTAATAATTGTTTTTTTTTTTTTTTTTTTTTTTTTTTGCTCTGCATTTTGTACTTTCCAGCAGGTTTCATATGTTGAGTAAGCATCTTTGAGTTTGAGGTTGTGGTTGGGGGAAAAAAATGCAGCTTGAAATTCTGACATCAGAATATATGTCCTGCTTTTGTTTCTTTCTCACACAATCGCTTTGAAAACTTTGAAACATCAGCTTGTTTACAAGGATAAGAATGTTTTCACCTTTCCGTTAATTGCTTTGAAGATGCAACACAACAAATTGAGAAAGTCCAAATTATAATCTGCTGTTCTGAAATGCCCATCAGTAAGGTCATGCTTAAAAGGACTTGGAAGGGGAAAAAAGGTGGTACTTGTTTATAAAAAAAAGTCTGAGGCCCCTCGTCCACCCTAAGAAAAGGGTTTCTCTCTAGTGTGCTTTTAAAAAAGAGATGGGGATTACCTAACAGCCTGAAAAAGGTTGTTCTCATTAAATAAACTACAGCTAAGGTGGTCAGACGCACAGGCCTGCACATGATCCATTTTATTTAGTAAGACAGTCTGAAATACTGTAATTCCAGTTGCAATTGGAGGTATGTGTGAACTGAAACACCATAAACAGAATGACCTGACTGCAGACGACTGTCGAAATGCAAACGACACGCTCCCCGTGACACAATAATTGTACATCTATTTGCCGAAACCAGCAACAGAGTTTCACAATAAGGCCTCTAAGCGTAGCAGGTTGACTTGTAAAGCAGATAAGGGCGGAGGGGTGGTGTCATGTTTCAAAAGCTCAGGAGCCAATCATAAAATGTTTCCTCAAAGTCAGCACACCTGGTGTAAAGAGAGTTTGCACACTGGCAGTCTCGAAGATTGTAAGGAGGTCTGCCAGAGAAACATCACACCAAGCCTGCAGTGCGCTGAAGCAACTCTGAACAACAGCAGCTCATTTGAATGTAAGTAAACACTTCAGTCAAGAGTTTCACCAAAAGGGTTTATCTATAATTTTATACTTTCTTTCTTTCATGTAGTCACGAGAATTCTGTTTTTTTGTTTACATGTGTGGAATCTAAGGAGGAAAAGTTCAACTGAATTTTCAGTGAAGTCAAACTGGGTGCTGGTGGAGTCATGCAGATGACTTTGTAGAAAACTCATTATTATTAATTGTAAACTGGCATGAACTGTGTACAGTTCTTTAAGTCGGCTCTGCGTGTCACGTATGGCCTTTGGTAAAACAACACCTCTGCGTGGACAGCAGTGAAGGGAGGACTAACTTGCTGCAAAACTGCTCTGGCTTATCCATTACCTGGGTGTTTGTGCAAAGTGTGACCTTTGGATCTGGGGGTAATTAAAGCTCTGCACCTGCAAAGAAAATTCTCCTTTGCAGAGCACGATTGGAGCAACAGTATTAACTCTTTCAAAAGCCAGCTGTCACAGAGTACACATACCTATTTATATATAGGTTCATGTTTAAGAACATTTGCACTCTGTTGAATACACTGAAAGATTAAGAAGAAGTGAGGAGGGGAAAATTGGCAGTGAATGGCCTGTTTGCACACCTGTGTTATGAGCCTGTCAATCATTCCAGAGACCAATATGGGGCTGTCAAGTTATTAGTTATTAGCATGATCAAGAAGAACTGCAAGACCTGACTTTTTAAAGGAAGTCAGTGTTTAGCCTTTTTCATTTTTTGGTTGAGCAATTTATTTATTTCTAAGAAATTCACTTGAAAGTAGTCAAGAGGTTTGACGAGAATGACATAAGCAGAGGTATTTCCCACACACACCAATAAAACAAAAAAACTGAGGGTAAATTTCAGTTCTGAATGAGGTGGCAGTAAAGTCCCTATAGTAGGTGACAAAAAGTTTTTTTTTTCTGACTTAGCCCACTCAGCAATAACGGAGCATATCCTGTTTAAGGACTTCGCTTGTGAGTCATCAGAGCAACAAGCAAGCAGCGGTGAGTGAGGGTGTTGATTCTCGGGGCTCAGAGAGGGAACCAAATCTAACAGAGAAACTTTGTTCTTATAAACAGAATATGCTTTTTTCTTTGCTCCAAATCTGTCGTGTACTTTTAAGGGTAGGTTGTTTGAAACTGGCGTGATGTAATGATGCAGGAAATCTACAGATGTCCTCCGTTCTCTTTGGTCGTGTATTGTATTTTTCTCTGTCTGTGTGTTTTTCCACACATTTTTGTGCTTATCGGGTCTCTTTTAAGCAATAGCAAGTGAAATTGAAAGGGTTATACAGAAAACAAATACAACTCACTTTTTGTACCTCATTTCACACTTCCTGTATTGACAGATTCTTTGCTTCTTATGTCTACTGAAATAAAACAAACTTTGTTGCTTTGATGTAGCTGGATTTTGAGATAAATGGGTGTTTTTTTACAAACCCTCACTGTGATCGGAACCAGTCGATTTTTAGGGTTAACAGAATGAAGAATAGCTTTGTCCTCATCAGATAAAGAAAGAAAAGTAAAATCGGTACGTGACTGTAGTCCTGTATGTCTACAGAGGGTAAATTGGTTTGTGTTGTGTTTCTGAGCTTAGTTAAGGTTGGAGATGCCTACATCGTGCAGAAATGTAGAACTCTTTTCATTCATTGGCTATGTGTATATATTTATCACACTCGTTCAACTGAAGTAGGGGAGAGAGGATACAGGAAAGGTGTCACAGGCTCATTGTCACAGGCACACATTGATATCCTCTTAGTTATGTCACTACTTGCATTGGCCCAGTAGTAGACTAAAAACTCACTCACAAACCCTGTAGTTCCTCAGCTGTCTGACCAGCTTGGTGTATTGTACAGCACTGGCTGAACCCTGGTGAGTTTGTACATTGCTTTAACATTGCCATTGCAAGTTTTCTTGCCACTTTGTTTGCAGTTGCAATTGTTCTGGTGGAATCTGTTATAGAAGGAATGTATTTGCATTCAGTCTGGTTTGATAAACAGCAGCTGTGGGAGTTTGCAGAATTAAGTAAGCAATTCTTGTGAACCAGAAGCATCAGCTTTTTAGAAAGCTGAATGGCAAACAATTTAGGTTGCTTCTTTTGCCTTGCATCTACGCTCATGATTGTTTTTGCTCCTTCTTTTTGGAGCTAACTTTTAACTTTGATACTTTCCCACTAATCCTTTTCTCTCATCTCTTTTTTTAAGTCACATTTGCTCTCCTGTGAAACCCCTTGACTGCAGTAATGCTGACCTGTTCAGACATTTGTGATTGCTATCACCAGTACCAGCCCTGTCCTTAACTCGTTGCTTATCTATGCAAGCAGATAAGCACAAAATGACCCATTGTGGAACGCTGTGTTAACTTTTCGTTAGATTATGCGTTGGCTTAAAATCAACTCTTCCTAGTTGGATTTAAGTGTGTTTTCTCTCTAATATCACCAGATTGGTGTGGGAGTCTGTAATAATCCAATATTAATGAATGGACTGAGCCCTGTCTATTCTTGTCTTGCAGTAAAGCACAATAGTTTTATGATTTGTTGATTTCTTCATTTATTGTTTACAGTCCTCTGGCCGGAAGGCAGCTGGCATGTCTGCTTTATGAGTGTGCTGCCTGTTATTATATGTCGCAAATTGGGTTTTGGTATGAAGGAGCAAATTTGAACGTACAAGAATATATTACCCAATTTGAGGAATAATACAGGCGTCAAGAGCCATTTGGATGTGGAGGCAGTGGACTGGGTTGATAAATATTTGCAAATTGGATCAGCTTATTATTTCACCCAAAGCGACTCTGAAAAGCAAATTGGATACAGAAGGGGCTTTTATTTGCAGCTTCTTAGGTTGGTTGCATTTGGAGATTTACTCCAGCTATTCAAGGAGCCTAAGCAGCCCACATAAAGCACTCCCTCTCCAATCAGCCACGGCTGTGTGATTAACATCTTCCTCCCAATATAATCAAGCAAAACAGTTCTTGATGCCATGTATCTATTTTTAGTAGGAAAATTATTCTGACAATTGGTTTGTACCAGAGTAAGCTGCATTGTGAACGCTACACATGACCAATATGAGCTTGTCAAGGTGTGATAATATTCAGAAAAAATATTGGTTTCAATGTACCTATGCAACATAAAAATCTAAGTTTTTAAATCTAATCTAATTGATTTCTTGTAAAACTGATAAAGGCAGCTCAACATAATTTTATAGAAACTTGGACATTTTAAGCTCAGACAATTGGTGTAAGTGATGGGAATAAATCATTTCTGTTGGAGTTGTTGCAATCCTTTTAGGATAATCAGTGATGGTCCTCTGTTTCTTCTATATGTTTGCAACAAGAAATATTTCCAAAAAGCTGATTTTGTCCCTCTTATCAAAGACAGGAAAACGTGTTGGTCTTTTTTGGGACAGTAAATTGGCAGCAACATGTGGAGGAGAAGAAGAGCTTCATTACTCTATATGCTCCATACTGCTAAACAAATCTCAACACTACAACAGTTTTTATGGTATCTATAGAAATTGTGTTGTGGAGACAGAATCACTCTGAATGCAAAGGGTTAGAAAACCATAGTCTTTTCAAACTTTGGTAAACTTTGAAATCACAAATCACTCTGCAGCTAGTGGATGCCACTCTTGTACCTCACACATCAATGTTGTGCATATTCATAATGACTGGACATTGCAATGTTCGTAGTGATTAGATCAGTGGAAATTGCAAAACCCTGACACATTAGCCTCTTTACTTATTGTCTTTCTCGTAGCCGAGAGTCACTTCCTCTTGTTTGGCAGTCTTTGTGGGTGCCTTGGGATTTGTTCTCATTTCTTACTTCAGTCGTTTCCTCTTGGTGATTAACAGCTGAGGAAACAAGGGTACAATGTTAATGGTGGTCAAGGATGAGGTGCCTGTAGTTCAACATATGGCACAAAGCTCAACAGGAGTGTTCACGCTTTGTTCTTGCATCATCAGACATGAGCCATTGATTTTGGTTCCTGAGAAGGAGCCTGTTTCAGTACCTTAATCAGAACAAGGAAGCTTCATTCTGGACATATATTGGAGGAAAGGTCATTCTCATGATTTTCCCATTTTAAAAATACCAACGTCCATATTGTGTTGAAAATAATCAGAGCTTTGTTTTGCTGGCTGTGAACATCTGTGCTTTGCATTCATGCACTTGTAATAGGGAAGTGCAGAATGGCTTGTTGTCAGGCGTTTGCCATGAGGAAGTTGTTTTCCATTAGGAATAAAACACATACTCCTGCACAAAAATGACTTGGTGAATATATTTTAAACATTAAAAGGATTAAAGCAAATTTCTAGATATTTTTAGTTGACAGATGCTTATTCAGTCAGTCATTTTACATCTTCCTGGAAACATTATGCAACAGGTATGGCACATTAACTTTGCAAAGGATGGAAACATTGAGCAGGCACTTGCTACCCGCTTACTCTGAGCAAAGCTTTTTGTGATACGCTTTTCTTTTTCTGCTGATCATAGTGGGAACTTTTCCTGTGTGACCGTCTTAACCATCATACGTCTCAGATTACAATCTATATTTGCATGTGCACTTTTTAAAGCAGCAGTACAAGGCCTGTATTTCTCTGAATTTGTATTTTTCCGCTAACATGCAATGTTGCAATGCTCGAATCTCAAAAGTACCAGCGGGAGTCCTAATAATACTTTCTGCTTTCCAACACCCCCTCCCGTCTCTACACAAGGACCCCAAGATTTCACTAACATCAGTGACTGCATATTAACAGCAGATATATTTAACTTGGGTGTATTTTCTTTTTTTTTTCTTGTTTCTCCCTACAGCATTTGAAGATGATGCGATTGCTGTTCCTCTGTGTACTGCTACTGCTGCCAGCTGCCACCGGTATGTTTTCATCTCTGATACGCTTTCAGTTGATAAACATCTAATCGGGGCTCAGGCATCCATGTGCCAGGCTGCCTTCTTCAACTGCCTACATGCGTTAGCTGTCGTGTGCTACAAGATTACCACATGCACCCGCTGCCTGCTATTGCAACAGCAGGCACCGGGTGACTGCTATTGCACACAATGACAGAACTTGTTCACCTCACCAGCAAATGAACAAGACAGAAAGAAAAACATGAAAATGAAATTGGCAACAGTCCATGTTTCTTTCTTTTTCTTTTTTTCCTAGTGTAGAGGTAATAAGGTATAAAAAGTTGATAATCTCTCAGTGTGCTGAAGTACCTTATGTATAATTATGTTCTACATCGCAAAAGTGTGTTTTTCTTGGCACGTTACCACACATTTCTGTGCCACTTATTGAGATTTTATTTGGTAGATTTAGTTGAGGAATGCATAGTGGTGTTTTTGGTTTCTTTGATCAAATTTGCATGGCATGTATTTGTACTCAGTCCAATTTATATTCAGACACCTAAATAGGAGCCAGGGCACCCATTCGCTTAGCACCTTCCGTGTATATTTACCAAGACATGGCCGCCTGCCCAAGTTGACATTGCAGGCAAGGAAAAGCAGCCAAGCAGCTCGTAGTAATTCTGGAAGAGCTGCAGAGATCCACAGCTCCATAGGTAGAAGCTATCTATTGGTCAGCTATTTGTCATGCAGACAAGAACAAAAAAAGTCAGACACAAGCCATGTGACATTGTAAACGTGAAGACTATACCTAGGTTGTTGGAAATAAGTTCCAGGGCTATGAACACCATTGCAAAACCCTGGCCTTTAAATGTTTTTTTTTTTTTTTTTTTTTTTAACTGCTTGGCTTCACAATTCTTACCGCTCTTTTGTTTTGCAGTGCTTTCAGAAGACTTAGAGGGATCAGCTGATGGTATGAATTGCACATCTCACTCAGAAAAACTTAGAACAAAACATGAAATGGAAACCCATTCATGTTGGTTTTAAGGTTACCAAGTAAATAGCAACTGTTTCTTAGATCGCAATAGTTTAGCAATTAAAATGTTTGTTTTTTTTTCTTCTTTTTTTTTTTTACATTGAACGTTTACTTGAGATCACACCCAACTTCAACAAATATTACCTCATTGATGTGTTTTGAAAAGAATCAAGCATGGGTTTTTCTTGTACACAAGCCTTCGTTATGTGTCATTATTGATAATCACCTGTTATTCAACGTGAACTGATAATTTAGCATAATTGATGGATTACATTAGCTCGTATTCCAAGTATAAAGAAAAATAATTTCTTTCACCGCATTAATACAATTTAGCCTGCTTCAGCCACCTCTAAGGCTTAAAATGGCTTTTCTCCAATGGTAGACTTTAGTTGCGGGGGGAAAAAGGAGAGTAGATACCATGGAGACAATTTGTTGGATATGCAGCAATAAAATGGCTGCATAAAGAAGTCCAATGTTTCCCAACCCTGGCACTCAAGATGCACTGGACTATGTGTTTTTAGACATTTAACACACCTGATTCAGTTGACTGGAGTTGAGCAAAAGCCTGTTAATCAGCCATCAATTGAAGTCAGGTGTGTAGGGAATGTACTTTGAGGACTGGGGTTGCAAAACCCTTAAAGAAACCAAATGCAGAGCTAGTGCCTTGCAAAACTATTCACACCCTATTCTTTTGCACTTTTCCACATATTGGTGTTCATGATGCAGTTTATTTTCTAGTGTTGTACGAGACTGAGTTTTATATAGTGCTATGAGAACAAACATTTAATTTTCTTTCAAGTTCAACTTCTTTCAACTTCAGAAAGTAATTCACATCACTGTATTTTATTTAAAGGTATAATAGCTTTGCCTGTTTTTGTTAGATCTGCTATATAAAATTTCTATGAAAAATATTGAATTGACTGGTAGTGATGAGACAATGGAAAAATTAAGAGGTACTAATATATCTGAAATACACTTTGTATGCAACACATTTCAATCATCTTTAGAAAGGCAGCATTTCTTTTTATCTTTATGTACTTTGTTCAGAGCTTAAAATGAAAATGTTGAGCTTGAATTTCAAGTTTTGAATTATTGCAATTGTCGATTGAATTACTGAAGATGACAAATCAATAATCATTGTATTCTACTGAAATTTTTCAATTATCTTTTGAAGACACAGAAAAGCTTCCCACACTGTTATTTGCCAGTATTTTGTTCTTGTTTTGACTTCAGGAAAGCTTGGTTGCTTTTGTTTAAAAAAGAAACAAAAAAACAAGAACTTCTTAACATAGTTAGCAAAAGTTAAGAGGTAGGTCACTGTGCAGTCTGTTTGTTAAAAATGGAGAATAATTTTCCAGGGCTTTTCATCCTCATCCATCTTCACATTTTGACCTGCACATCTCACTCAGAAAAACTTAGAACAAAACATAAAATGGAAACCCATTCATGCTGGTTTGATTGGTGCTGCATAATTCTGTGTGATGACTCTCATGTACAGCTCCAGCCTCCCTTTGTAATTGAATTTCTCATTTAGAGTTTATTTACCCCCAATTTGAGTAATTTAAAAAGTATGCTCTGCTTGTTCTCTACTGATAATGGTATTTCTTCTTTTTGTTCATTTGTTGTTGTTGTTTTTTTGTTTGTTTTTTTTTTTACAGATTCAGATGATGAAGATTTTGTTGAGCGAAAGAGTGAGTTTTTCTTTTCTTTTTCCTCCACACTTCAACAGCAGGTTTGATTCTTTAATTGTGCCACTACTTCTGGTCACAATCGCTGTAATGGCAGCTGCTCACAGGAGAGTATGTGAAGGTTATGGCCTCTAATTTCTGTCAGCATTGTGTATAGGCTGTTCCAGTCCAGTGAGATGTGCAGAGGGTCTCTGGCCCCTGTTGCAGTTTACCCCCCTCTAACCATTAAGCCCTGAATGGAATCAATTAGCTCTCCAGAGAGGCCCTGTGGATCCTGCTGAAAGGCCAATGAGCATGCTGATATCTCTGCCGCCCTGTCTGTCACCTAATCAACATTGGCATTCTCATTCTCACCACACATCTGCCTGTCACTCCTCATCCAGGCTTTGATGGGCATTTGATAGAATTACAGACCGTTAAGACCAGGGATGCAGTCTGTCTGCCTGCTCTTGTAAGGGCAGCTTTTCTACAAATGATTACGACTCATCACCGGAGCCTGAACCTTTTTTCTATCTATAGGATATAAGAACATGAGCTTGGATGAAAAGTCTATAAATCTAAATGTTTGAAAGTTCAAATTAGTAAAGTAATGGCTTCAGAAAAAGATATGTTGTTTTTGTACACTTAAGAGGAAGTATATATAATGAAAACTCTAACTGCCCTTTTGTTTTGTGCCACTTAGATATTCCTAATGTTGAAGGCTCCCAAGCTGAAACTGAAGGTTCAAAAGAAAATCCAAGTGAGTATAACATATTTATGTTCACAGTATTGACGTAAGGTTTCTTCATACCTACACTGTTAACAATTGAAATGCTAGACAAACTCAGAATTTTATAACAATCTAAATAAAGGGCAAAACTGAATGATTTGGGAATCACAGAAAAAGCATTTCTCATACAATTAAGTAAATGAATTAATTTATTTTTATTGTATTCCACTGTTAAAATTATAAATTTTAAAATTGTTATGCACAAAGCTGGGACAGAGGCCATAAAAACAGATAAGTGTTAAGAATGAAAAATAACTGTAGCAGCATATGTGCAATTTAATAGTTAAACGGGCGACAATCAGGGTTGCTAGATGTAAAGCTCTAAAATGGATAGAAATTCACCAGGCGTTTCACCAACCAGAAGTATTTTTGTCTTGGATCTTAGAAATAAACCAAAATAACAAAGCTCTGCCCCCAAAACGCCAGATGATTAGGAGATGTTCTAAAGAGGGATGCTTCATCCCTCAATATTGGAGACCCATGGCCGTCTCCAATATTGAATATCTGTCAGTTACCTTTGGTCCTCTATCGATAGAGTAAAAATAATCGAAGTATTATAAAATCAACAAATTGTGAAAGATGGATTGTCTCGTTTGTATTTTTTACTAAACAGATACTTGGTAAGATTATCTTACATACCATAGTTTGTTTGGGTTGTATTAACATTTTAACACAATGTCTCCCAAGTGTTTTAAAAAGGACATCATTATTATGCTGACCTTCGAACATGTTTGTTTTACTGTCATTTTTTTGGTTTTAGGTCAAATGACTGTGATCGTCATAGCTGCTGTGGTTGCAGTGGTGGCTCTGTCAGTCATAGCAGTAGCTGGTAAGCATTCTGTTTTTGTTGAGAGTGAAATGTGAACTTTATGTTCCCAGGGCTGACAGATGTACTGCCTTTCAGAACTTGGCAAGGATTCTTGAGTGTCTTGTAAAGCTGTTGCCTCCTAAGCAAATATGAACTTTCCTCTTATGGAGTTGTGACCTTTTCTTTTCTGCTTGCAGCTGTAATGTTGATGAAGCGACAAAAGCTGAAACAGCAGCAAGGGTAAGATCAAATTGCTTGTTTTATTCAAACGATTGTTTTACAGGTTTGTGTGTTAACATTTATTGGTTTTGGGCGGACTTCATGCTAAGTCAGATTCGGAGTCACAGAACCAGTCTGTTGGGTAACTGTCCTGCTTCTGCTTTTACTTTGTGCTCTACTTGGTCTAAATTGTCAACCCACAAAACCAAAGAACAGTCACGCCTGAAAGCATCATCAGCATCCACCTATGTTAGCCCGTCTGGACTTGTTCAACAATTAGTGTTGCGCCTCGTGCCCTCTAAAGTCACTAGTGAACACTCCCCAACTATCTGTCAAACAATGGCTTTGTCGGTGCCACTGGGAAAGTATGACCCAAAGGAACAGGACTCAACCTGTCCCAAAGCTTACCTCATGCACCGAGTCACAAGGAGGCAACTGAACTTGAAAAATTAACCAACCCAGTAAACATGTTCTTGGCATCTTGACAACAACCGCTGATACTCTGACAGAAAAACAACTTGAACCAGTTATGCAGAGTTTTGCTCTTAGCATTTGGCCTCTGCTTAACTGTAATTTGGATTTTTGAGACATCTTGCAAACTAATCAGTTTCTTTTTAGTCAGGAGGCGATGAATAAATTGCATAACGGAGGGTTGCAAGGGTACAGAATGTTACTCCGTTTAATACAGTACAATCAGGTGGCAGAAGAAAATCTGTTACAGTAATGACACCTAAGATGTTGTGCATGCTAGGGTTAAATTCTTGTGCAGGATTAGTCACTGCCTCGCAGAGCTGCAGCCAGCTTCAGCGGTGTTTGGCGCTGAATGATCGCTCTGTTGAAAAGAGGCTTAATCACGCAGCAACCTATGGCTTGTTGGATCAACAGTTTTCAGTGAGGTTTATAAGACCCACCTGGGGGATGAGCGGTGTTTTTGAGGTAACGCAGCAACCATGCACCTGTTAGAACCCAACTTAATGAGGGAGCCATGCAATTTAATTTTTTTTCTTGCTGTTTTGCTGTTTATGGATGTTCCTTCTGTTAATGTTATCACTGAAAAAGAACCTAAATGCCTAACATGCCTAATTAAATAAATTAGAATACCATTGAAAAGTTTAGTTTTTTAAAAAGTTATTTTTATGGATGTTCAGTTGGTCAAGTCACAACCCAGCTGCATTCTCTGACAGTATGCATCCATTTACTAAGTAAACGGATAAAAAGGGAGGATGTGAACCAACTAATAAAACTTTTTGTCACTGAATCACTATGAACATGAGTGCATAACAGCACCAGGCACAAAACACATTATCAACTACAGCCAGTGCTTAAAAATAGAAATATCTGAAAAATTAAGTAAAACAAAGGGTCTTACTGAAATAAGCATTCTTATATTGGATATAAAGGTAATCAGAATTTATTCGACAATTTGACATTCCTGGATGAATGGCATAGTATCAAACTATTTATAATTCATTTGTAGTGCTTGTTTGCACAGTTCTACCCAATCAGTATATTGTTGATCTGTTTGTTTCTGTTTCCCCAAGCAAACTTTTTTTTTTGTCACCCATTCTTTTTAAAATCAGTCAAGATTAGAAAAACTGTGTTGAAGTCTTTCACAGCTTAATCTTAGTGATGGTCATTAAAGCAGATATAGGTTCTTAGATGGTAGGTTTTAGTTCTGAATGTCATTATTTTTTTTGCAGTCTGGGAACATAATCCCTAAATTAAATGCAGTCTGTAATACTTTAGACCAAAGAACAATTCAGTCCTTTTTTTTTTTTGTTTGTTTTTTTTACTTTACCACTACAGGCTTCCAACATTTTTCCTGTTTCATAAATGGCTTGACACAAGAAATGCTTGTTCTAGCATTTCTTCTATGCTATAAATGCATCATAGTATCTCTGTGTTTTTTCTTGAAGCACTGAAATCAGCCATACCATTGTGTGTGTGTCGTGCATCTGCCCCAAACTCTTGAATGCCCTTTATTTCTCAAAACTTGGGTTATCTTTCTCTTGAGCACCTTTTTACTTTTTCTCTCCACTACGGTTCCCATTTACATGCTTGGATACAGTGCTCTGATCAGCCAATTTATTTAGAAATGACTTTCCTTGTCTAAAGTGCCGGTGGCTGTCTGCTGGACAACTGTCAAGTCAGCACCCTTTCCTAATGATTGGAGACCATTTCTGCATGCAAAATCTTTTTTTGTGTGTGTGTGCATAAGAGTTCATTTCAACCTTTTATAGTTGAATCAGATGATCACCTAGAAGCACTTGAAATATCTGCTTCAGAAATCTAAAGTTTAAAAAGAACTGTTAACTGACATTACACTACTACTTCAACTTTTAAATTATTTGCCAAATGGCTTAGTTACATTCGTCTCACCTCATTCTGTCTGCCACCTGTTTTTCAGGGTTTACTCTGTACCCACTGAGCAGAATGAGAAAGGCACCATCTAGTTCCTGGCAGCGCAGCAGCTCTGCACCTTAAAGCCAAGCGAGGAGAACAGGCCGTTATCTCCCACTCTCTGACTCAGGACACCTGAACTCATTTGCACCTCAGCCTGCTTATCACTGTCCACTCTCTCACACATTCCTATAAACATATCTAACCTATGCAGTACAACTTTTTTTTTTCTCTTTTTGCTGTTGTGCACCATTTTCTCTGGATCCCAGCTGTTTGTTCTCCATTTAGTTAGGGATTTTTTGGAAAGCATTCAAACCTTTTTTTAATTGCATTCTGTTTGAAGAATCCAATTTAAAAGAGGAACATGTGGCTTGCAGCTTCTTTTTGTTAAAATTAATGATTTAGCTCAGCCAAACCTCCCCTTTTTATTCAAAAGCATAAAATGATTGACCACTTAAGCAGAGAAAACTGTAATTGTGTTTTGATTCGGTGCGTGTGGAACAAGCCTGTCTGTGAAATGGTCGTTGACTGAGACAAACCATGCTAATCCGTGCTAAGCCAGCTGAATGCTCACTTACTTTCTCATTCACTTGTCTGACATCCTCTGTTCCTGGCCCAACGGGAGGCACTGTGAAGGCAAAACCAGCTCTTCATCTTTTTTTCCAACGGTGCAAAATAAAAATAAGTGGATACACCAGCTGAGCACACATTTCAGCTGTAAAACAATCGGCTGCCATAAATGATGTTTAGTTCCCTCCCTTTTTTGTTTTTGCAAAGCTTCTGTTAAGTCTTGCAGATTGTAAATGGCTTTCAGAAACCTGCAGAGTGCAATTCCTGCACTGGGAGCAGAAAGGTTGCTGGGAGGGAGGTTAGGAAATTTAAGGTGGGATGATTTGGGAATTAGAATTTATTTCTTTTAATTTTTTTTATTGATGAAGGGGTGCTGGATTCACTCGCATGACATCAATTACACTGTATGCAGGAAAGCTTTGTATGTCAGAAAATGTTTCAGATGAAGTGGGATAACCCCAAAACAGTTTGAAACAAGTACTTCAAAAAGTGTTGAAGCAAGAATCTATTTATTTCTAATACATTGTGTTAAGAACACTGGGTATTAAGAAAAGCTGTAAAAATGTATCTGGTGTCCAGCATCAGCTTAAGAAAAGATGCTTATGTATTGGTATAAAACAAATTATCTGATTGATTTTAACTTCCTGTATCTGAACACGCCTAAGTCATTTATTTTTGACTGGCCTTTAATGTGTCAGCATTTAATTTAGGCATGTCATAAACTGCTATACAGAACATTTAATTTTTTTGCTAAGCATAACTTTATTTCCTGATTGTTTTATATGATACAAGGCTATTTCCTTCACATTTTATTTCCCTAAAATGTATCAAAATGTTTCTATACAATTGCTACCAAATGCTTATCTATTAACTCTTTGGAGAGCCTCTTTGTTGTGACACTACTCATGTACAAAAAAAAAAAAATGCAATATATGTAGCATTTAAGCTTTTTATTATTATTTTACAAGTGAAAATCTGTCATTTAAAAATGTCTTGTACATTAAATTTAACCTTTTATCACTGCCACAGTTTATCTGGAAGAACAAGGTTTCAAAATGCAATTGGTAGTAATTGATTTTGAAATAATGTTATTTTATACAATTAGGATATGCTCAAGTGATAAAAGCCTGCAGATCATAAGGAGTTAAATTTAAATTATGTATATTTACTGGGTGATAAGTGTCCATTTTTTTTTCTAAGAAAAAAATGGTTTAAAGGGCTGTTTTGTAAGGAATTCCCATGATTGGAGAGTAAGTCCCATCTTAAATATGTATTAGTGTTTATATCATAGCAATAAGTTTAAATTTGAACTTCATGTCAAATAATTGTATTTGTATCTGCACTTTTTTATATGTATTTCTATGCCAAAGACATTTACTGAGGTATGCATTTAATTTCCAGAGCTTGTAATTCATGTATCGCCTGCCAAGAATACCATAATCATTTTGCACAGCTACAGACACCTTGTATTTGTTCTTTCAGCAAATTTAGAATGGGGAAATTTCTGTACATATAAAAAGATAACTGAACTCTGGATGTTTGCCTATTTTGACATTAAATGTTCTAAAACACCTGCTTAGCGTCTGTAGTGTTTGCATAACTGAGTTACCATATGGATGAAAAGTTATTCTGCCATTAGATTCCCATTATTTTAGGGCTTTTCTCACAAACACGCTTAGACACACTTGCTTAACATTTTGCTGTGCTTTTTATTTTGTTTTTTGGACTTTGCAGGACTGCCCAGCTTCAGTTTAATTCTCATGTGGAAAAAAAAAATGAAGATTCTGCCGTGTACAAATGTCTTTTCATGACCTTTAGTGATTCATTTTTTCTTTTACAAAAATTTGATTCAATTCAAGTTAGCATGAGCTTGTTCAGGACAATTTAATTTCCAGTACAGTTTGTTTTATAGACATGAACACAGGTCCCAGGTTTTCCATTTATCAGCATGAGTCAAGATTTGTTTACTCAAACTTCCACCAGTTACCAAGCAGTACAATTAGCCTGTCAGGCCGCACACAAACACGTTGCCAGGTGTTAGTGAAGTGTTTTTCTCCCTCACGGACTAAGACTTTTGTAATTTCTTGAAACTTTCCATGACTGCCATCGTTTGCACATCTTCTTATCCTTGGACCACACGGTATGTTCTGAAAAATAAATACAAATAATCCGTCAGCAAAAAAATAGTGGAAAACCCTTTATAGCAAGTATTGACATGTATTGAATAACAAACAATTGTACTTGCAGTGGGTAAGTTATTGTGTTTTGGTCATTGAACAGTTTAATCAGAACCCTTCTGATGCATAAATCATCACAGAGATCTCTGCTGAACTGCTGTCTAGAATGTAAGCCTGCGACCTAAATAAAATATAGTATGTAAATAATTAGCCATTTAATTTAATTCACCAATTAGTTATTTAGTCATTATATGTGAGAAGCACTTAGAACTGGTAATAGATGTACCAATATTTTAAAGATTGTTCCTCAAAACTGTTTTTCCATCATACCACTTCCATAGTACAATATTTGTATTACAATAATATAATAATATAATAAACATATCTGCTTAGTCTCTTACTGTTTTTGTAGGTCTAAGCCCATGGATATTTTTTTCTGAACTTGGACATCGTTTTACAAAACCTAAAGTGATTTATTGTGATGTTTTAGCATATGCATAGTTACAAATTGGATGTGCCAACTTCTAAGTGTTATTGTTTGGAAGGCTGGGTACGTTTCTTAATATAGGCTTTCTCCAACATAGGTGTGGATTTTTGAATTGGTTAAAAGCTCAAGGCCTTTGCAGTTGGCCATCAGTTAAGAACAGCACAATAATTTCTTGTCCTACCAGCATTGAGAGTTTGTCTGTTGGTTAAGCCATAGACTCATTCCTTCCAGGCCTGGATGCACAGTGACACTGTGCTTCTCTAAAAACAAGTTTACCAGGACAGTCTTGACTACAATCCAGCAGCAGGTGAATGTGTGAATGAATGGGTGAATGACTAAATATAGAGTTTTGGACCCCTCTGGACTTGATGAAGTGATTGACAACTTCTGGGTAAAGACGGAATAATGACATGTTACAGAATGTATGTAAATTTACCTGTAAAAATAAGTTAACTGCTGCATGCAGGTTTTCTGATTTGTATCTACACTTTTTGTCACAAATGTTGAAGTGAATGCTGTAAAGAAACGCATGTTCTTATCATGCTTAGACTAATTTGTGGCTGCTCGTTTAGTAATTGTAGCACACTTGGAAAGGACTGTTACGGATGCAAATGAGTTTTAACTAGCTCCAACAAAGGTGGCTGGTACAAATACTAACTTCGATGACTTCTTGTGACACTTGGGCAGCCGGCAGATGTTGCCACCTGTAGTTAGAAATAAGCAAAATATTGAGAAAGCTTCTTGAATGAAAATAGAGATTATTACTTAGTAAAAAAATCTAACTTACAGCCAATGATCATAATTCCCATAATGAAGAGCACACTGGCAATGATCAGGCCAGCGTATCGCAGAGATTCATAATCTAAACAAGTGACACATGTTAAAACCCCGCTAAGAACTTTATAGAAAAAGATACAGAAAAGAGCTTCCTTACTATAGGTGAAAGGTTCATCCCACTTTGGATCTATGTAATACAAAAGGAAAGAGAAGAAGGATCTATTCAGGATTGAGTGAAGTCAGTTATAGTGCTGAAGGACACACATTGACAGCAGCAACAACAAAAAAAGCAGAACATTAATGGGGAGCAGCTGATGTGCTGCTGATGCTGCATCAAAATCTTATCTGAAGTAAACTCAAGCAGTCTAAGAGCATAAATATCTCATTTTGCATAAGATACAAGCAAGAATGAATCTTTAGGCAACAGAGTGGGTTTTGCTTAGGAGGCAGGGAATTGTGATAGTGTCAGCAAGCCCAGGGATATTAAGACAATTACAATTACCCATGGCATTCATGGGTAATTGTGGCGCAGGAAGGAAATTTAGTCACCCCAGTCAGTTTCGTTTTTGACCGTTGTTTTCTTCGTCGATGACACTATGGAAGGAGAAAAAAAAATGGAAAAAGCATTACATCATTTGACTTTTTTAAATCATCTCCCATTTCTATTTATTATTCATAGAGTCTAATATTAAAAATATCCTTTTTGTACTTTACTGGCCTAATTTTAACCATTGCATGTTTTCTTCCTCCAAGATTTGTTGATCCCTCATGCTCGCAACATCAATGCATCATTACTTCACACAAGACTCTAGATATGTCCTCATGTCTGACTTAGTTTTTAATTGAATGTTTCAATCTATCAGTGAAATGAGTTTCACATGAAACATATACAGAAGGCGTTTCATCCTTTCAGTATTTGTTATTGCAATTCTTTATTCCAGCCAGTGAGTCCAGGAATGTGAAAAAACAAAACAAAACTATATTTGCAAAGGAAATTGCAATTGCTTGTTGCAGCCTCAGTTGAAAAAAGGGTTTTATGTTTGTCGACAAACTCAATGGCTCCACCAACTGTTCAAAGTAGAGGTTGAAGAAGTGGCACCTGTAGCAGATGTTGGCTTTGTTTGAAGCTCTGTTGCCTTCTGAGTGAAAGCTGAAAGGAATAGGAAAATGGAACAAAAATAAAAAAAAAACATCAGGTGAGGCAGGAGTCCTAAATGTTGCATAGAATTTGAATGGTGCGCCGCTCGCCATGCTACCTGTTGTTCTTGGTTTGGATACGGTGGAGCTGACTGAAGTGTTCTGGGTGTTGTGCCCAGACGCGGTTTTCTCTGGGAGATTTTTCTGTCCGGTTTCAGCATTTATGGTGGTTCTGTTTCCTGGAGGCGCACACACAAAAATCAACTGAGGATGTTAAATGAAACAGAAGCTTTGACTACATAAATCGAGTGAATAGAAAAGTCTTCAAAAAAACTCACTAAACTAAATGATCTAAAGAAGCATATTGCTGTCACTGAGGAAAATCTATTTTTGGACACTACTAAATTATAACCTGATAATATTTTGTAGAAATACATAGAATACACATGATTTTTGCAGAATATTTTGATGCATTTAGGTTACATTGACAACAAGGCTGCATTGCAAGGGGTATGCGAGGCACTGTAATGACACCCCAAACTACAACCATAAAATTAAAAGTAAGCTTTGGATTTTGTTATTTTATACTTTAATGCCATTCTATTAGGGCAAGCAGTAGATGTGTTTTTGTCATCAGTCAGAAAATTGTTACAAGAAAGTAGCTCCTTTCTAAACTCGCAGAGAGCTGCAGCAAAGAGTGACATCTTGGGATCATCTGCTAGAGAAAATGATTTTGCAACATTGTAGTATGTCTTAAATCGGGGATACCAAAAAAAAAAAAGGGTGCAGTAGATAGAGACAGCCAAAAGAAAGTGTCTTACCAGTGGGAATTGTAAGTTTGGTGGGAGGCACTGTTTGATCAGAGGGTGTTTGACTCTGGGCCCATGACACTGTGGAGAGAAATAAATGCATTTTTAATCACCAAAAAGAAAAAAATGGAGTCAGATGAAACAGTGGACTTTCACAGGAAGAACAAAGCCCAGTGTTGTTTATGAGTTTTTCTAACAATGCCGTCACGTATTTCTTGGCTGAGGCCAAACTTCAGTGTACGAAGTGGAGGGAGCCCTGCAGATCCGCTGAGCATGTCACAGTAGCAGTCCTGTCAGTGAATGGGGCTGTGAGGCAACACAGGGTCAGATTGTTGAGTGAGACGACGGGACAGAGCGGCGCATTGTCTGTGTGCTCACTCAGCACCTTCCAGTTAGTAATTAAGTTACACAGAACTTCTGCTTTGTGGGGGCAGTGCATTGATTTTGACTAATTATGTGAACTAGTAAAAAACTGGCTGGATTAAATGTGTAATTTAAGATTTTAAAAAATTGTTTGAACATTTTCAATGAGCAATTTGTATGCAATCATGAGCAGTGGAAGAATATTAAATTTCTCTTGCAGTTTCAGTCACAGCTGTTTTACTCCTGTTAACTGTGTGAATGTAGACTTACAGCATTGTCACATTTCTGAATATTTAATCCTCTTTTTTGAAATATAATCCCAATATATTAGTTTAATTATTTCTGATCTACATATCAGTCTTCAAACATGATGGATTACCATTTAGAATATGGAACAATTTTCTCCAGACCTCCAGGGAATTTGGCCTGACTGCAATTATGGTCTCAAGAGGAACTAAAAATCATATGTCCTTGCTTTTGTGGGACATTGTTACCACCAGTAACACCAGCTCCATTGATGTGATTCACTGAATTATTTATTCCCCTTCACACAGAGTCTGAGCTTGCAGTAATAAATTAGGCATTTTGAATAAAAGAGCCCAACATTAATGGAGTCACACAACTCAGACCGTGGAATATGATGGTTTGTTTAAGAAATCCAATGCTAGGGCTAATAAACAAAGCTAATGCTAATGTAAAGAATAATGAAAAACAATGTCAGCACCCTTCAAACAAAATGTTTATCACATATGCATTTTGACAAAAAACATGTCACTTAGCTTTAAAACACTGATTAAACACCGAGTCTAATCAGTCAGTCTGGG